ATATATCTCATATGGAGCAATGCAAGCCACTTTAAATGAAAATGTCTTTACAATAGGGATATAAATAATAGTTACTTTAAAAATGCCTTTAGCAACATGCAACAAAAATAGTTGTTTTATGCATGCCGCTCTCTTAGATACAGTATTATGTTTGATAGTTGGAGTTTCCCCTTAAGAAGCTTTTGTAGGTTATCTTAAGATAATGAAACTAATTTAAACAATCAGCTGGCTATCTATAACAGGACATTGACCTATGAAGTATGTATACCTTGTCATGCGACTGCTTAACTGTTCAATGGTCATATAGGGTTCTAGACATGTGCAATTCGTTTCGGTCTGAATTAAAATTCGTCAAAATTTTGGGTAATTTGGACATTCGGGTGCTTCCGAATGTCCGACTAGCTGAATTGCCGAAGTGTAGTATTGCTGAAGTTCCGAAGTTGCTGAAGTTCCGACGTGTCAAAGTGCCGAAGTTCCGAAGCACAGTATTGCCTAAGTACTAATATACTTACCCAGTGAAAGAAGAAGAATGTTACTCTGTATACAATTTCAAATAAAAAGTAAACAAACATAGACAGGATTCAGCTGTAAGCGTTTGCAACACTTACAACAATCAAGTAACATACATTCATATAAAATGTAAGTTACTTAGCCAGTCATGTAATGACAGGAATGAATAAGTAGATAGCTCCCTAATTCCCACGGTATTAGGGAGCTATCTACTAAAAGATTACTTAGTATTAGTAAATTATGCCCCTACTCGCTATACTGCCTTTGGCTGCTCACTGTAAAAAAAAAAAAAGGCCCCCCCCTCCTATTTCCCCCCCGGCCCCCACCCCTGAGCGGCGGGTGGGGGCACTAAAGTAAAACAAAGGGGGGAGGACCTATTGTCCTCCCCACCGACCCCCACCCCTGAGCAGTGGGTGGGGGCCCTAAATACAAATTGGGGGGGGACCTAATGTCCTCCCTCTGGCCCCCACCCCTGAGCGGTGGGTGGGGGCCCTAAACAAAAATAAGGGAGGGGGGACACCTAATGTCCTCCCCCCTGGCCCCCACCCCTGAGAGGTGGGTTGGGGCCCTAAACTAGAATAAGGGTGTTATCAGAGTGTTATGAGCCAAATTACACAGCGTGGGAAAATTCCAAAGAACTTTCCCACGCTGTGTAAAATGACACAGAGCACTCTGATTGGTGGATTTCAAACCAACCAATCAGAGTGCTGTGACAGGCCAGCCTCTTCATTTACCTGTCAGAGCACTCTGATTGGATGGCTTAAACCCACGAATCAGAGTGCTCTGAGCCTAATTGCAGGGCGGGGCAAGGCTTTATAAGCATTCCTGCGCCCTGCAGAGCTCAGTCTGCGCGGAGCCCTCGTCAAGTGAAGATGGATTGTTTTTTTTTGCGCTCGCTTTTTTTTTTTTTATTATTGCGTTGGTTATTATGGATTTTTATTTGGCCTTTATTGGGGCTGAAAAAATAAGATTTTAGAAGAAAAAAAACATCAAATGGTAAGTTTATGTTTATTTTTACATGTACTTAGTTAAAGGTCCCTCCCTCATTATTTTTAGTGTGAGGGGGGTAGGTAGGGGTTTATTTTTTGCGGGAGAGGGTGACTAGGGGATTGGGGACCCATAGTCACCTGGGGGAGGGGGGTTACGGTTGCTTTTAGGGCCCCCACCCACTGCTCAGGGGTGGGGGCCACGGGGGAGGACATTAAGTCCCTCCCTTATTCTTGTTTAGGGCCCCCATCCACCGCTCAGGGGTGGGGCCAGGGAGAATTAGGGAGTTATCTACCAAGCTGCTGCAAGAAAAGTCCCGAAATGCCGGAGTTCCGAAGTTGCCGAAGTGTCTAAGATCTGAAGTGGCGAAGTGCCGAATTGACGAAGTCCCGAATTTCGGAATGCCGAACCGAGCCGAATATTTTCCCCATGCACATGCCTATAGGGTTCTAGCTGTTATATATTTTTGTGTATATTTCTTGTATACAACACCTTAGTTCTTCACACATGAATAGATAATTGACAGTAATGTTCACAGTCTCTTCTTGAAGGATTATTAAAAAAAAAAAAAAAATTCATGAAAGACTTTTAAAACTCAGAATTCTGTCATTCTGAACCCAGTCTTCCCCATTTCCTTTAGTTAGTTGTCTTCTTCATTTTTCTTTCTCCCTTTCCCACTACTTCTGTTTCGCTCTCTTTCTCTTAATCCCCCCTCCCAAGCCCACAAGTTGGTGTGGGCCATGCAAGATGTCTGTTTTCTCTCCTCAACAATGACTCATGAAATGTCATAATTCTAAAGATGGTTGACTTGTTAAGAGACTCCAAGCCTCCCAATTGTCCCACTTTTGGTGGAAGAGCCTGTCCTGCTGTCACCATTTTGTTCCCTAGTGTCCCCTGACCTGTCCCCAGGAAGAACAGCAAGCGTGCATCAATAGTGCTTACTGAATGGTCCTGTATGTTGGGGGCCAGTATACTTGATGCCAAACTGCCACGCCCCTTCAGTGGCCCTAAATTATGGGCTTTGCCAGAGGCACAAATTGTGTTACTGGCAATGCCCCCTGATGTCATCCCACTGGTCCAAATTCCATACCTTCCATTGGGTGGTATGTGACTCTACTGGAGGAATGGTTCTCACAATAATAGTTTTTTCGTAACTTAATAATCTGACTTTTAAATAAATGGTTCTGCAGTTTGCATAACATTTTTCATTTTTTTTACAATAAACTTTTGCTTCATTAGTCCATGATGTAGTCAGAATGACTTTTTATTTTTATATTGCCTAAAGGGCTGCTATAGTACTTAAAAGAAACTGCGCTCACCAGGCTGCCATGGCACCGGATCCGAGGATGGCCAAAACACACAGCTGTTTTTGCGCCAATAAAACTGCTTTCTTGGCTTTCTATCACCTTGAGTGCCTGTACCACTACTTTATTTTATAAAGGGATCCTGTAGGCACCAAAACAACTTTAGCGTAATTAACCAATTTTGGTGAACAGATCAAGCATGATCTATACACCAAAACTACTTCACAGTGGCGAAATTACCGCCGGTGCATGGGCATTCCCTAGTGGTACTTGGCCCCTCTCCCCTGGATTTTTCAGCTTGCCTTCTCCCCCAGGGCTGCCGCTGCAGAGGAGAGCCTACTGCTAAACGAGCCGGCAGGGAGATCAAAAGATCTCTCTGACCGGCGTAGTGACAGCCGCCTCTTCCCTTTCCCTTTAGAGGACGAGACCTGGCAGTGTTAGAAGTCTCCCTACCAGGTCTTGCTCTCTGTGTGCTGGGAGGAGTGCTCAGTCCTGAATAAGAGGACTGATGGGGAGTGACAACCCCTCTTCCTTCTACACGCATGCTGTGTGCTCCCAGCACATGTAATAAGCTCTGCTAGGAGGAGCTCCCTGCAGGAGGACACACAATCTACAGGATTACTGCAGAAGCTGCTGCTCATGGGCTGGTAGAGAGAAAGAGGGATGGGACTCAAGAAAGACGTAAGTTAGAGCAGAAATAAAAGTGGGGGCTTGAGGAGGAAGAGGTTAATTGAGGCAGAGGTTCAGCTTGGGGCTGGGGTGAGGAGAGAAAGAAGTGGAGTGATAGTGAAAAAGTAAGGGGTGACAAAGACAGGTGTGTGGGTTAAATACATTCTGTGTATATATATATTTAACATGACTGAAACTTATTTAGTGAACCAGGCTGTTCAAGCTTTAGGCACGATTTCCACACTATTTCCACACTATTACCCCTAACCCCTCTGTACAGGGTCTAAATCCACCACAGCTCCTAACCACCCACTACAAGTCCTAGCCTCCCGCTATTGCCCCTAACCCCCTCTACAAGTTCTAAACCCCCACTATTGCCTCTAACCTCCCACTACAGCCCCTAGCTCCCCACTATTGCCTCTAACCACCTACTACTGGTCCTAACCCATCATTATTGCCACTAAGCACCCACTACAGTCCCTAACCCCTATTACAGCCCCTATTGCCTATGATCCCCCACTAAAAGTCCTGAATCCTTTACTACAAGTCCTAACCCTCCACTACAGGTCCTGACCTTCACCCTTCCTATTGCCCCTCACCCCCCACTACAGGTTCTGATCCCTCCTACTGCCCCTCACAGGTTCTGATTCCTCCTACTGCCCCTCACCTCCCACTACAAATCCTGAGCCCTCTATTGCCCCTCACCCTTCCTATTGCCCTTCACCCCCACCACAGTTCCTGACTCCCCCATTTCAGCTTTTGAACCCCACTAGAGGTCCTGACCCCCCCACTACAGGTCCTGACCCTCCTACTACAGACCCTGACTCACCCCACTACTGGCCCTGAACCTTCACTACAGTGAGCTTGTATGTAAGTGAGCTTGTGTGTGTCGGTGAGCATGTGTGTGTCAGTGAATTTGTCTGTAGTGAGCATGTGTGTCATTGAGCATTTCTGTAGTGAGCATGTGGTCAGTGAATTTGTAGTGACCATGTGTGTGCCAGTGAGCTTGTCTGTAGTAAGCATGTGTATGTGTGTCAGTGAGCTTGTAAGTAGTAAGCATGGGTGTGTCAGTGAGCATGTGTGTGACAGTGAGCTTTTCTGTAGTGAGCGCGAGCGTGTCAGTGAGCTTATCTCTAGTGAGCGTGTATGTGTAACAGTAAGTGTGTCTGTAGTAAGTTTGTGTTTGTATACCGATGAGTTTGTCTGTAGTAAGTTTGTGTGAGTGTCAGAGTTTGTACTAAGTTTGGGTGTGAGTACCAGCAAGCTTGTCTGTGTGTGTCAGTGAGATTGTCTGTCAGTGAGCCTATTAGAGTTTATCAATGAACTTGTGTTTTTATGTCAATGAACTTATGTTTTAATGAGAGTATCTGTCTTTATGTCTGTCTGTAAACCTGTGTATCAATGAGTTTGTGTGCTTGTGTCAGTGTGAATGTCTGCTTACTGTATAATTAATTTTTTTACACTGACAGAACCAATATTTTGAATTAGAAAAAGAAACATACCAATAATATATACACACATATATATTTATGCCAGCCCCATAAGTCATTGTGCCATGTAGTATGTGTGTGTATATGTATATATACACACACACTACATGGCACAATGACTTATGGAACTGGCATTCATTTTTTTCCAGGGCTGCTTTGTAACCCCAGTCTGACCCTGCAAAAAGGGTCCGAGCATGGATGTCATTATAATTATGCCCCCCCTGGAAAAAGTCCTGTGGATGCCCATGCACCGGTGCAGCCGCTGCAACTGCACCGGGCTCAGAGCAATAGGGGGGGTCTGCACCAGAAGTTCCGCCACTGAGTTGCTGCCTGGTCGTGGGCCCTTCAGACAGTGATGGGCTACCTCTAGAGTCCGGGGCTCAGAGTGCTCGGGGGTCCGAGCCCAGCCTATTACTTATTCCCAGCTATAAGGAGAGGAAGCACAGGTAACTGGGGGAAGAAAGGAGTGAGCTGAACACAGCACATTAGCCCCAGCCAGCAGCACATCAAGGAAACCACCCTCCTACAGGCAAAGGTAAGCTAACAAGAAGGTGGCTGTAAATATAAACACTATGACATATATGCGTTTATTCATATCAGTGTGAGTATCTGTGTGTCACTGTGTGTATTTGTTAGTGTATTGAAGTGTATGTGTACCAGTATGTGTATCTGTGTGCCACTGTGTGTATCTGAGTGTGTATCTTTGTGTCAGTGTGTATCTGTCTGTCAGTGTGTGAATCGGTACATACAAATACATCCCTACATGCACAGACATACTCTATAAAAAAACATACATTTAAACGCACAAACCCTGCTCACTAATACAACCCTGCAAGGATGGGCGCATTTTAGTTCTCCAGCTGACATAGCATTGTGGGAGTTGTATGATAGATGGGGATCTATCATTTTGTCACTCTTGCGCTAGTGTGGGGCCCCAAAAATTCTTGTACCACGGCCCTCTCTACATTAGTTCTGCCACTGCTGCTAAAGTTGTTTTGATGCCTATAGTGCCTCTTTATTACCTCCTTTTTAAATTACCGTAGTTTACCCAGTGAAGCAAAACTAATGTCTAACAGGTCAAATGTGCACTCTCTATGGGCACAATCAGGGTTATTTAAACAAAAAATAAAAGGGGAGAAAGGAATCAAGAAAGAAATTAAGGTTGGGGGATCACTGTTATAGAGATGTGTAATTAGGAATATGTACTTTTTTTTTTGTGGCAGTAGAGCTTCTGTGAACACTATTAAACCTGTGAGACACAAATACAATGTTGTTTTTCAAATATTTAGGTTTAAAACACTTAGGTGCTCCCTCTAAAAAGTCATTTATATTTTTAATTGCTCGTGCTTTTATTCCTAACGTTATATTTTTATTCACGTAAAATGAGTAAAGTAAATAGCAGTTGAAAAAACACATAGCAAAACGCCAAAACTGGTCAAACAGAAAAAAAGCAGAATGTCCTGTGTCATGAAAGAAAAAAATGTGTATTCCGTAAACAGTAGCCAAGGATATAAAATGTAGCGCCTAGTGACTAACTAAAACCTTGCATATCATGGTGGCGCATAATTGTCTAAATGACAGATTATGTCTTTTATAAACTAGTATCTAAGTACATTTTACAATTTGTAAAATCCAACAGAGCACATGGTATGGCTTGATTTTTACTTGCTACACTCCTTTGTCTACTGTTTCTGGGTGTTTCTCTCACCCAGAAACAGTATGCGGTCAAACTTTATCTTTATTGTGTCACAGATAAAAACAAGGTGTCACTGAATTATAAAAAACAAGGTGTGAAGTGGAAACATTTTCAGAGCAATTATCCACTAACAATAACTAAAATAATGTTAAAAAAAAAAAAAAAACTTTATTTAAACACTTTTTCCCCCCATTAGTCTACTCATATGTACATAGGAAACCAATATTTAGATATTTAATAAATATTTATTATGTATAAGGCACCAATATAATCTGTGCAATGGTAAGCGAGAATTACAAGTAACAATTGACTCAAACAAGTTTAACTGAAGTGGGATCAAATTCCAATAGAGGTAAAGGTAAATCATATTTTCTTCAAAATAAATATTGCTTGCCATGTGTATTAACAATATTACTTTCTAAACATAACTTATATAGAGGAGAACTAGACTCCAGACGTCATTGGATGACGTAGAGCAGGGCACATAATTTCCACCCATCACTACCCATTGAAGAATGAAAATGTAGTCCTGAGGAGCCCTGGTGCGTGTGCTAAGCTTGCAGTGGCTAGTAACCCTTATTCAATACCTGGGGAGAGACAACAAGCCCAGAATTAAAGTAGATCAACTAGTTCTTCCTAAACAGCTGGGTTGGGCTGATGTTTGGCTGCAGATCCCAGCTGGGACCTGATTGGATATTAGAAATTTGCCTAAAGAGGTAGAGACACACCCTTTCATTGGGATAATTTAAAAAGTTGGCACTATCATCAACAGCAACAGTCTCTCTCCACCTAATTCATCCCCTTTCCTGCAAACCTGGATCATAGGACCCTCCATTTTCTAGATAAAAGTGATTTCATTTCCGTACACACTTAGATGTGGAGACACCTTATTACCCTTCAGATGACCTCTAAGGCAAGCAACCAATTAATGCATGAGGTGTATAAATATAGGTATACAGATATACAGATGAGGGCGCCACTATCACAATATATGTGGGTTATAGTTACCACTTGGTCAACAGAGATGACATGTAAAAAGAAACATAAACATACATAGTGAAGTATTTAATTGTGTAAAATTAGCCCTGTGCAGTATTTAAAAGCGGAAGACCAGAAGAGAGCATCAAGCTCATGAAAAAGTCAGAACGGATGAAACGCGTAGATCGAGCAGCAATCTACCACAAAGAAGGAGGCTGGCATTGGGAATTTTCCTTTCATCTACCTCACAACGATCTACCTCACCATTATATCTGGCTTGACTGAACCCTCAGACTGATCTATAGAGGTACCCTCGGCCCCTTCCAAAGACTGAGAATTAAGCCCCCCGCCTTGAAGCTTAAAGGACCACTATAGTGCCAGGAAAACATACTCGTTTTCCTGGCACTATAGTGCCCTGAGGGTGCCCCCACCCTCAGGGACCCCCTCCCGCCCGGCTCTGGAAAGGGGGAAAGGGGTAAAACTTACCTTTTTCCAGCGCTGGGCGGGGAGCTCTCCCCTCCTCCTCCGATTCACTCCCCGGCTGAATGTGCACGCGCGGCAAGAGCTGCGCGCGCATTCAGCCAGTCACATAGGAAAGCATTCTCAATGCTTTTCCTATGGACGCTGGCGCTTCTCACTGTGAAAATCACAGTGAGAAGCACGCAAGCGCCTCTAGTGGCTGTCAATGAGACAGCCACTAGAGGAATAGGGGAAGGCTTAACCCATTCATAAACATAGCAGTTTCTCTGAAACTGCTATGTTTATGAAAAAATGGGTTAACCCTAGAAGGACCTGGCACCCAGACCACTTCATTAAGCTGAAGTGGTCTGGGTGCCTAGAGTAGTCCTTTAAAAGCTTTTGTGCACAAACTAGAATTATTTCTTTTTGTGCCACTCTCTTTGTGAGTTTGTTTTTTATATCAATTTTACACCATTAAATACTTCACTATGTATGTTTATGTTTCTTTTTACATGTCATCTCTGCTGACCAAGTGGTAACTATAAGCCACATATTTGTGATAGTGGCGCCCTCACCTGTATATCTATATAGCCTATATTTATACACCTCTTGCATCTATTGTTTCTGTGGGATTTGGGAGTGATCCCTTTTTTGAGTGGCTTGCCTGCACTACCGTTTGCACTTTACCCCACTTACCGTACATTTCAAGCAACCAATTAGCCTAGAATCCTTTCTATACTACAAGCTCAGACACTTTTACAGGTCACTTACTCATATAAACCTATGCAGATGATTTACAGCATTTGAGAAATATAGTTGTTGAGCAGAGCCCCTACCTGTTCTCTACGAGTTGCTCCTGGAGGGAATGCAACCCTCTATGTTAAAATTTATGTCCTACTGTGAGAATGCCCTGCATTTGATGATTATCTTGTCTCATCTTGACTGATTCCTCTCTTGCAACTGTCACTAGTCTAATACTATCCTTACCTTTTTGTGTCACTTTACCCCACTCCCTCTAGCATGTAAGCTCATTGAGCAGGGCCCTCAACCCCTCAGTTCCTGTGTGTCCAACTTGTTTGGTTACAACTACATGTCTGTTCGTCCACCCATTGTAAAGCACTGCGGAATTTTGATGGCGCTATATAAATAATAATAAATAATCAAAGCTCTACAAGAATTAAAGTCCAGAAAACCAACATAGAAATTCTGATAAACTGGTATTATACACCCCACAAAATAGCTCCTCAGACCAGTGCTGAAGGAGCCATGGGTCGATCTGACCACTATTATACATTGTCTGAGAATGCCCCATAAAAGCACCATTCTAGAGATGAGTGTATAACACTGACCTCCCTGGCTGAGAAGGGCATGGAATTCCACACCGCAGATTTGCTTCCTAGCCCTACTAGTCTTCCAATATCTAGATTTAAAAAACAATCTCCAGACACTTGCTAACTGCAACCAAGTGTCTGTTCTCTACCCTCTGGATGCAACTGCTTGTGACAATGACCAAAGTTGCCTACATTGCGTGGAAGAATTACGCCAGACAGAGGAGCATTTCGAAGCCCAGAATGGCAGGACTTAAAAATACCATAAAATTTAGAGGACCTGACTGTCCTTCCGTGGTGCTTAGGTTGCTGCTGGGAGTTGGTGAGATTGTGTGTGTTTTTTTTTTCTTTTCCCTCCCCTACTTACTTCTCAACTTCTACACATCTTTTTCTTCCTCTATTGTTACAAACAGACTGGTTGGGCAGATCGGTCATGGACTGAGGGCCTGATGCAGTCAGCGGCCAGGCTAAGCAGCCATGCTCTGGTTAGAGTGATGAGAGATCACCCCAGCCAGAAAGACATAATTATTCACATATTACAGCGATAGGTTGCCCTGCAATCTATTGCATTGTAAGTCTCTCCCAACCCCTTCTAGGTGAGAACCCATGCTCTTTTCCCTGTGCAGGGCTCCATGTATGAGGAAGAGGCAGGGCGAGGGCTTGTACTCCTGGCCATGAG